CAACTAGGATTTGCTGCTTTTTTGGATATTACCATGCATTCTGTTTTCTTTACATTCAACAATAATCCTTTATGTTCACTTTCTTTTACAACAGTATCTCGAAGCATTCATCAAATGTATTAAGAAATAAATGCCACAACCGAGAGCAAAATGTAAGCAGTTTCCAAACATGTAAACAACTTCAAAGCATGAAGAGGCAATTCTTTGTAAGCCAGGCGTTTATAATTATGCACTCTTCGAGAGCAGCGCAGATATCCTGAATTCCTGCCTTATCAACGTCTTGACATTCTAGAATTTCCTGGTTTAGACGGCTCGGCAGGCGTCTTCAGTGATAATATGTTTTTCATTGGAGAGAGTGAGGCTAATTGAGACAGACTTGAGACTGTCTGTTTTAGCTTGCCTCTCAAAGGACAACATTTTAGCTTCATCATGGTCTTCTCGATATCGATTATTACAGTTTTGTTCTATTCTAATCTTTAGATGGATGGATAGCATAAAAAAGACACACCAGCCTACCACCTCACAATTATACGTTCACTTATACACGCCCATAAACACACATGATGTCTAAAAAGACAGACAAACAGATAGATAGACAGACAGATAGATAGACAGATAGCTTATTATGTCGACTCCTGGTAGGGAGGGGGAAAGAGAGAGAGAGAGAGGGGGGGGGGGGTGAAGGGAGAACTATAGACAGACAGAGAAGGAGAGCGAAACATTACACACCCACTTGCGCGCAAACGCACATACTCACACTCACACACACTCACACACACACACACACACACACAGACACACACACGCCCACACACACACACGCGCGCGCGCGCGCTCAGACACACACAGAAGTAATGGGAGGGACAGACAGACAGACAGACAGACAGACGGACAGACATGCCAACGACTAGGTAGTTGGGAGCGGAGTTAAGCAAACAGGCATTACAAAAAGTCAGAAAAAGAAACGAAAAGATGTTTTGAATGTGCAGATTGCAAGCAGACACGCAAGCAGGTCGAGACAACCACCCACACAGGCCTGAGAGATGGAAACTCTGGTATAACCGTGGGTTTTTTTATGACTTACTGAGTTCCAGTAACTGGGGATTTAGACTTCCTCTAAACCCAGACTGATTATGATCCGTATGTATTTTGAATCACGCAGGGCGATTTTTTCAGCTCAAAGCGAATCTACTTTTAAGATGCCGGAAGGTAAAAAGCCTACTTCGGTGGAATAATAATGATAATATTATGATCTTATTTACCCCCCTCTCTCTCTCTCTCTCTCTTTCTCTCTCTCTCTCTCTCTCTCTCTCTCTCTCTCTCTCTCTCTCTCTCTCTCCTGTCCTAATTGAATTTTATCAACCCGATTCGACAAAGCGTTGGTTTTCTCGAAGACAGCAGATTTGATCCCCGAACATGACCAGAAAGCAACTTCCTTTCACTCCTTTTCTATCTCTAAGCGTTGTCCTTCGATCCATCAGCCAGAGACACTGTATATATCCCACTTGTCTGATCTGAGAGTGTCAAAGCAGCCCGCAACAAATTGTAACATACTTTTCTTAATTAAGGTTCATGGTTTGTTTTTAATTTTCTTCGTGGGACGTAGATCTTCTCATTCAGGCAGCTTCTTTGTGCCTTTTCTGAAAACACTCTTAAACTCAATCATTTGTGTTGAAGAATGATTTCTTTTTCGCGACAAAATACCACACTCTAACTTCGCATCCTTACCTATTACTATGACAATATATCAATTTCTGAAGCACCAAACAGGGAAAAAATGAACAAGTTCCTCACTTTGCACATTGGTACGTTATTTGTCTCAAATGAAGCGCGCTAATATCGTCAATGAGTTCTCAGTTACGTCAGATCTTGATCAAATCAACAAACTCATAGAAGATCTAACGCCTTATGGCGGCCACACATCTCGATCGAATCAACTCGCTTTCAAATAACTGGGCTTATTTTTGCAACGCTAAGTACAAACTAAATACATGTATGTCGGTATCTGACTATTGTCACATATGTAAGGCAGCATGGTGGAATCAGGCTCTCGTCAAAATAATCAAAGTGAAGAAACTTTCATTTTTCCGCAGGTTTGTGAATTTTTATCAAATGTTTGCTTTTTGGCTCAACACTTTTCATGCCGTTTAAAGAACTAATTTCTGTGTGGATTTTTCTTTTTTTTAAAAACGTTGATTAAAAGCACAAAAAATGTAAATTTTCTGTTACCACCGACTCTTAAGCTAAGGAAATAGCTCATCTTTGGCGGCCATTTTCTCACTAATTTTACTTCTGAAAACAGGTAACCCCACGTCCTTCATTCGCAAATATCTCGACTTGTAATCAAGATAAATGGATATTTTTTTCATCCAAATAAAGACAAGTGAACAAGCTATAAGATGATACCAACAACTCTACATGCCCAAAAATTGACTGATTTCACCACGCTGCCTCACATATCATTTTCGTTACAAAACAGACTCATTTGATAAACTTGCCAGAATAGACAGTCTCCAAACGTCTTTAGCCCACTGGGAAAATAGAAGACAAAAGAGGCGTATTAAGTAGATAATGAATAACTTACTCAAAGAATTTTAACAGACAAGGGACGGTGAAATATAAATATAAGATAAGGCTTTTATTTAAAGAGAATTCAAGCAGAGAAACGAGTAACCAATTATGATCGCCGGTGCATGTTTCAGACCTGACACTGGGAGAAAAAGAAATGGACGCCATCATCAATTTGGCAATCCTTGGTTACGCCCCCCCCCCCCCCCCCCCCCCCAACCCAGGACCGTCTCGACGTCACCAGATGCGTCTCGAAAAGTACTAAACAGTCTGTTAAACTGTGTTTCATAGTCGAGGTTAACGAGTGATGTAGATGAAAATAGGTCAACATGAATGTTTTCAGTATGAGCTGTAAATCACCAGCTTTAAATAAACACAGATTTCAGACTAGTTTCACGTGTCGGAACTAACAGCGGACTTCATTGATAGGCTTTTTGGTTATATAGATGATCTAGCTTTTAGATACGCATACAAAGACCCAAGAAGCTTTAAAAGAGTATTGTTATTTTAATCCCGTTCCAACCGCGGACAGACGAAAATGAACACGCTATACTTCTGATACGGTAATGGAACAAAATTAATCTTTCTCAATGCAACACTGCAGTGACTGTTGTTAAGGAAGAACCTGTCCTTTTCGTCCGAGGAGGTCACCTATACACTTATCCCTTGAATCAGTTAAAAGGCATAACAAAAAAGACTTACCTTAATATAGATCCAACTGGGAAGCGTCAGTTAGAAGTATTTATGCCTCTTCCTTTCAGGTAAGACTGAGAACAATGTCGGTACACATATTATTATAAGTAAATCCACAATAGATTGACAAAACGCACGAACACTTTGTTTACGCTTCGTACACTACAATCACATTTCAAGGTAGTTCTGTAAAAGAAAGCATTGCTTTAATAATACATGATCATCTCATTCTCTTGTTTTCCCACACAACTGTAAGAATAAGTTCCCCTTTTCAATTTCTCGAATAAAATCAATGGATACTGCTGGAGGAACAACGTGTTTCAGAGAAGAATGTGTTGGCCACTAGATCTAGTATTCAGCCATATTTGAAAGACGTGTTTACTTTGATGCAACACAGAAGAACAACGACTCGGCAGGCACGTGAAATTACCTGTGCTCGCCCAGAGAAAAGGAACGAGAAGTGGCCGAGCTGTATGTTATCCTCTGGTTTCTGTCTGTGTCAGACAACCAATCAAAGAGCAGCTTTCAAGTCCGAGAAATCACGGCTATCCAATCATGTGTCGAGTGCGCGCCACTCTGCCCAGGAACGAAGGCTCTGGAAGCATGCGAGAATTAGAAACGCATTAGAGATAGGTATTCCATTCATGCGAGTAGTCGGGAACAGGTGCGAGCTCTCTTGTCAGGAGGAGAGTGAGTGGGCCCTGGAATGACGGAAAGGGGGAAGTTAATGGAAGATGGACAGAGACAGTTAGAGAGAGCGTCTGATAAACACAGCGGCGGTTGGGCTGATAAGCCGATACGGTAATAAAGAAAAAAGATTGTTAAAAGAGATTGGTTAAAGCTTGCAGAGAAAAAGTGAAATACAAGGAATATCCGATATTAATTGTTTGTTTGATGTCGATGTTATTGTTGTCGTCGCCGCTCTTCTTCTTCTTCTTCTTCTTCTTCTTCTTCTTCTTCTTCTTCTTCTTCTTCTTGTGGGGGCTCTCTTGGTCTAGAGGTACGGTGTTGGCCTTGCATTCAAAAGGGCTCGGGTTCGAAACCTAACAGCGATGAAAACCTTTTTATTTTAAAAATGTCACCTCTCACCTTCTGCTCTCTAGTTATGTTCTTTCATCTGCTTTCATCTCCTCTCTCTCCCTCTCTCTCCCTCTCTCTCTCTCTCTCTCTCTCTCTCTCTCTCTCTCTCTCTCTCTCTCTCCCTCCTCTGAGTTCCTGGCTCGTTTTTTACCACCACTCCAGGCTCCTTCTTACTGTTGCCATTCAGCTACACCGCTGATCTTAGGGAAAGTAAGATCGAAAAAATCTTGGAAGTCCCGTGTGCAAGTTGCGAACGTTAAAGATCCCTTGGTAGTCCTGAAATCGAAAAGAGTAGGCTTCAGCCGCCACCCGGTTAAAATTCAAAATCAATTCATACCAAAACTGATATAATGCTTCATGTGAAAACAACCAATTTTTGTCCCGCGCGCTCTTATGACCTTATTATGCAGTTGGGAGCACCTTTATACTCTTACCAAAGGAACAACTTGTTCTTGATCTTGTTCTTCTTCTGGACACATACAATGGGCTATACTGTATTCCCTTGCAGTTGCAACATGGTCTCCTTAGCGGTCTGATAACTGTAAAATTGCTTTTTTTTTCTCTGCAGTTCTAGTTTACACGAGTTTACAGTGACACGCAGGGGTATTTCTGGAACGTTTGTGTAGGCAACGTGGTGCGCCTAGCAGTGGGGAAATGCAGGGGTTGCGTTTTTATATTAACACATAATACCTTAAAGCTGTATTGCCCAATCTTTTTGAAGAGCTAGTACCGTAATATGATGGTGTATGTACGCAGGCTTCCTTCAAAATTATTCTCAGTACCGTTAGATCTAGTGATTATTTTTCCCCCATCGTAGTCAGTCCTGGAATATGCATATATGCGAGAAATCTTGGGGAAATCAGGTGCTCGCAAAATAATGACGTCGAAGATATTTGCTTGATATCGAAAAGAGCGTAATATTTATTTATTTATTTTATTTTATTTATTTTATTTATTTATTTTTTTTATTTTTTTTAATTATTTTTTTTTCCATTTATTTATTTATTTTTTTTATTTTTTTTTGGGGGGGGGCTATACGAGTGTTATGTCCATTAAAAACATTCCTCTGTGAATGTGAATTTTACTGAAAAACGTTAAGTAAAAGCACGAAAAGAAGTAAATGTCCAGTTTCCAAGGACTGTCAAGCTACGAACTTCGTAATCAAACTTTGGCAACCATTTTCTCGTTAATTATACATCTCTGAAACCAAGTTACTTGATTAGCATTCAAGATAGATGAGTAGTTTTAACATCGAAAGATGCCTACGAACAGAACATATTCGGCTCAACTTTCATTTGAACAGAATAAAACAAGAACTTCCCCAATGTGTCCTTTGTGTGACTATGCATATGAGACAGTGGAACATCACCTTTTCCACTGTACATCCCTAAGTGACATCAGAGCTACACTTCTCCCTCCAAGACCTATCTTTGACAACACACTCTACTGAAAATTACAGCAACTGCAGCCAACCTGTACTTATCACTACATGGCATTGGACAGAGGGGCGAGAGCCCAGTTGTTGTTGGATCGATAACAACAACAATAACATCGAAAGATGTTGAAAATTAATGAACAATGTCTAAGTTGACACGAATGACTCTACATGTCCAATAATTGACGAGCGCCTGATTCCACGTGTCGTGACACTTAATTTTATATGTCGGATCAGACTAAAGGGAATGTCTCGACCCATTTTGAGCCATCATACACACATTGGAAACACAAATCATAATACGCATGTTGTCTGTCTTTTAAAGTATCTGATTTAAAAGAAAAAAACAACAACAAAACAAATGAAAACACTGTTCGTCATTAAATGACAAAGTTATGCTTCTTTATATTTACTTTTTAAAGCCCCAAGTATAGTGCATAATATTCAAGGGTTCCCAAATAACAAGTCGGTGCCCTTAATGAGTTTAACGAATCTTTTAAAGAATGATACAGCATTACAGCATATCAATATGTTGTTGGCTACATTTAGGCTATTTCGCAACAGAAGCCTTCTGACGAAAGAGCGAGGTGGAGCCATTCAGAGGTAATGACAAGTAGGATAACCAAAGGAATAACACTCTAACAACTCTAAGAAAAAGTAGATCTTGACGTTTTCTTCTTAATTTGAATGTGCTAGGA